CAGATCATGGAATCTAAGATCACCCAGCAGGCCCTGAATGAAATCGAGGCCCGTCACAAAGACATCATGAGGCTGGAGAGCAGCATCAAGGAGCTCCATGACATGTTTGTGGATATTGCCATGCTGGTGGAGAATCAGGTATAAACGCACACACGCAGCAATCACTTATGTGTTGCCTTTCACCAAACAACTTTATATATATTCTTCATTGATCATATGATTTCTAATAACCAGCTTGATTCACAATAATAAACCAATGTGATGTAGGCTACCAGTGGAACTAACCAGAGGGTGTCCAGTGATACATGTGTTTTGGATGTGAACAAATGGTAATAAGGTAGAAACAGATCACTTCTGACCTTATGTTGTGAACAAAATGATAGATCTACTTCTTCATATACTGTACAAGCAACATTGCCAAAAGCAGTTTTGCTAACGTACTAACTGTTGCCACTTCTGATAGGAGAAATGTGTTGTGGAGACAGGTTTTGTTTCATATTGGTGTATCTGAGTAGATATAAAGTGTATAAGAGTGTTTTTAAAGTTGTACATTAAAGTCTCTCATGTTCTTCCAGCTGTCAGTCGCTGTGTTAGATGATATAACTGATCAGATATTTTAAGGAATGCTCGAAAAGCTGAAGATGTCCAAAAGAAAAATTGACAAAGAATTATCTCTCATTATCCTGCCCTTCTCTAGGGGGGTATGATTGACAGAATTGAGAGCAACATGGACCAGTCGGTGGGCTTTGTAGAGAGGGCAGTGGCCGATACCAAAAAGGCAGCCAAATTCCAGCAGGAGGCCCGCAGGGTAAGTTGAGACTGATGGAGCAGTCACATGGCCAGATGAAATATTGTCTGTTTACTTCACTGTTGACTTTTAATTTCTTTGAATTTTTTTTCCTACATGACATAAATGCATTTACTGAGCAATGCACAACATCTTCTTTTCCTTCTCTGTTTACTTTTCTCCAGAAACAAATGATGATCTTCTGCTGCTGTGTGATTCTGGCCTTGATACTCGGTTCATTTGTCTACAGCTTCTTCAAATAGTAATGCTGAATGAGCCCCCCAGCGGGGTCCCACAGTGCGGGACGAGGCAGAGCAAAGTAGAGCCCGGGCTCAGTTTCGTCATTTCACTCCTTCAAATTAGAAATAGAGTTTGAAAATCTATGCATTCCTTCGCCGTTATTTCTGATATGTTATTACAACTTTTTCAACATTCTTAGGGAGTTCCACATTTAAATTCAGTTTTAATGTCAGATCTTGTTGAACTAAATATTAGAGACACCTTTCAATGCCTGCAATGCACTGCATCTAATACAGCACCAAGACTAAATGACCTTTAGTTCCAACAAAAAGCTTTAAAGGCTTGATGAAAGGGAAATGTGTTGTATAACTCTAACCAATGCAGTGTAAATCCCTGTTCCTTATAAAATGTAAGAACTACAGGTTCAATCCACGAGCAGAAAAAGTGTTTTTCATCTTTGTATCTCTATAAATATGTATGGTATTAGGTACAGGATTTGTCAGTCAATGCTAGTGTATCTGTAGGACTTTTCAGGAGTGATGAGTAAGATCAGCTTTTATTTATATATTTATCCACTCTTAACATAGTAAAAGTATTGTTTTTTTTCTGTATGGTGATCCTAAATATGTCTTCCTTCCGAAGATTATTTAAAAGCTGTCAAACCCGGATTTCTTTTTAAGTGGGCTTTAAGAGCCCCATTAACTACTATCTCGGTTAATTTAAATACTTCAAGTAACAGACAATGAACAGTGTCAGGATCTGCTTTCATAAATACATTGAAACAGTGACTAACTAATGAGAAGTAATGTTATCATATACAAAAAAACAACTGAAAAGGATGTATTGGTGAGAAAGGACTGCAGGCAGTGGCTTTTAACAGGGGATGAAGTGAAAGTGAACCGATCCCACAGATGTCCCTGTAGCACTACCCGTATTTGAGTTTGAAACTGATTAAAACTAGACGCGATGGTAGGAATAGGACTAAATTCTGAAGGTGTTAGTGAAGAAATGGAATAAACCCAGCCCTGCTCTATTACACTGCCTGTAATGTACTGTTTTACCTCTTCATGTCTTTGTTGTAGGTGTATATATTACCAGATTGCTTTTATTTCTATGTGTTTGTGTTACCCCCCTTCTTATTTTTTAAAAGAATATGCTTGTATTTCCAATCTTGTTTCATGCCATGGTTTGACTCTAATTTGACTTGCGTCCTCCCTCTTTGCTCTACATCCACATATGCAGGTACACTGCAGTACACTAATGTTAGCCTATAGTACTCTTAATCCATATTTTATTAGTAACATTTGAAACTAGGTTTGGTCAGTGAAAAAGAACATTCAACCATTTAGATTTTTGGAAATGGAAAATTCTTCTTAAGAAACAGACTGGTGTTTTCTTGTTTCAAGTTAGAACAGAGGCCTGTAGCCGACTACGAATCCAGTTCAACAGACCCTGGATATGTTTGATTTACCCGGTTTACCTAATCCAAAACAAACGCGCTCTCGCTAAGCGGTCCTACGACGCTGGTTATCAACTCGGTAACTCAAGCCAGGGTTTCTCTGTCTGACTGAGTGCTCGTTCACATGAAAGGGGCGGGGTTAGCAACATTTGACCAATCACAAACATGAAGAAGCGTACTGACAGCGCAGCGTCATACTTCATGAATGAAAAGTGAACTATAATATTAGACAAATATGAAGAAGTTAAACTTTAAACATCCATGACTTAAACACTTTATCCAGGATAAAAGCCACATAGTGTTGCGTTATTCAATAAAACACGTGAGTTCAACTGTCACAATTAAGGATGTTTTTATTGGTTGCCCACATGCTAGAACACTCAGGGCCGGCCCGTAGCACTGGCGTTATAGATGTTCGCCTCAGGCGCCAGATCTGGGGAGGCGCTGCGCTGGTAGAAAAACATTTTTGACCGTTGGTGCTCATCCTAATTTTCGGCCTTGATGTAACAACATTCATAATTAAGTAAATGTAACGCCCTTTTTTGACCCCGGTTACACTTTTCATTTGTCCTGTACGATGGGCGCTGTAAGTGATGAAAATGGGGGATGTTGGCTTATCTGGCGCCCGCAGCTCACAGCCAAAGTGCGAGTGAGATTGGGAGCGAATGAGGGAGAGAGGGAGGGTGCACCGGTACCGGCGCTGTTGTTATTAGAATCTGGTGCTAGCTACTCTAACGGATATTAGAAGAAGACGTTTCTACAATAATGTGGAGGGAGAGTCCTCTCCAGTCAGACTGAGAGGCTGATAACTACAGCTCAGTGAGGTAAAGCACTCTGAGTGTTTAGATAGTTAACTTTAGTCTAAGTTATCTCAGGGGGGCTCAAACGGTTTGGTCACAATTTATGTAAACAAATATTTCCAAGGCACTCCTTTATAATTATTGAGATAAAACAGGTTTGAAATCATTTCAATGTATACTATAGGACAGTAAACCAAAATAT